CTTCAGTGCACCTGCAGGAGGGCGTTTTAGGGTCGCTTCTCGTCTTCTTCCTCCTCGTCCTCGTCCTCCTCCTGGTCCTCCTCCTCCTCCTCCTCCTCCTCCTCCTCCTCCTGCCTCCTAATTGGGGTGAGGAGGCTGCCTGACTGAGTTTGGGCACCTGCCCTGGCACCGAGGAACCCCGTCATGTGGGACGACGTGCTGGACGTCGAGGTCCGGGTCTCCGATGACGTCCTGGTCTTGGAGGTTTCAGGAGGGAAAGAAACACACAGACACAATTAATCGTCGATTCCCCAGAAAATGTGGGAAAATATGGGAAGTGGGGGGGAAGACAAAAACCCAGAAAATATGGGAAAATCTGGGGAATCCTTTAATTTGTCTGTATTTATTTGTGTGTCCTGGGGCCCCTTGGAGGTCGTGGACTGCACGCTTGAGCCCCCAGAGCATGTGGTCGGCCGCGTCGACCTCTCCATCGCGGAGATCTATTCCGATCTGTCGGGCGAGCTGGGGAGCGAGGGTGTCATGAGTGCCGAACTCGTCACGAGGAAGCTGATGCACCTGAGCAAGGATCGGGCGCCGCAGCGGAGGTCGAATGATGGGCGTAGTTCAGGTGGCTGAATGACTTGGCCTGGGGGGCTGTCAGAGAGCTCTCCAGGATACGCGTCCTGCTCGCATCGTCCTGGACGGCCTTGCCCAGAGCCCTCGCTTGCTCACTCTGGTCGCTCGCCACTCCAAGCCGGGGAACAGTCGGGGGCGAGCGAGATCGGTGCCCGGCAGAGCTGAGGATGGGCGGCGCTCGCGTGCGCGGCCGTTGGCTGAGAAGGCTGGTCCCGCCGCTCGTCCGGCGAGCCCTTGCCGTCAATCCGAGTCTCTTCGGCGTCACCCCAACATACTTACACTATGTGTGCATCGCCCCCCCCCAGGGGCGACGCGCGCACCGAGAAAGCTGCGCAGTATATGCGTCGTGGCGGGCGCGTTTGGCCACACCGCTCGGGCAACGACATACTACAAGATGGGTATACTACATGTTCGGGTCGGACGCGCGCCTCCAAGGCGGCCATATACAGTGCCCTTTGTAATGCATGCTCCGCGTGCGGATCATGTATTGAAAATGCAGGGATTCGGTATTCAAAACAACGATGAGTTAATGCATAAATTCATTCCTAAATTAATCATGTCTCAAACATTCCATATGTTTAAAAATCCTGTGTATTAAAAACTGCCCTGTAGTATCAGTATGTCTCTGTGCGTCCCGTCTCTGCGCGGGCGTGCGCTGGGCAGCGGGGCGGGCTCGGAGGAGGGCCCGTCGAGACAGACCACGGCGGCTCTCCCAGCCGGCCCCAGGGTACTCGAGAGCTCCGTCCCCACGGATGTCGGAAACCATTTAAGCAACACTCGTGTAGAACATATGGTTTGTGAACCTCCCCCGCCTCCCCCCAAATGCAGTGTTGGTTTCGGATCTTCCGATTTGGGGCCTCCGAGCGGTCCTGCGAAGACCTGTCGGCTTCGAACTGCGAGGGAGGGGGGGAGGGTTGCTTAGCTGTTTCCCTCAACCCCAGCACCCTCCCGAGGGGCCAGAGCACGAGCGGCGGGCGCGTGTGGCCCGAGGGGGGCGCGGGGGATGTGTCTGCTCGAGCGAGGCGCACGCGGGAGGGCGGCCAGCTCGGAGTAGCTTCCAGGGGAGGGGAAGGTTCAAGCAGTGGCGAAGCGTCCCGGCTCGCCGAAGGGCCCACCAGGGAATGTTCTAAGAATTTCTCGTGGTCTGCACGAAATGTTCTTGGAGCATTGCTGGCTGAGTCTGTCTTGTTTCAACACATCGGGTTTATGCTCTCAGAGCATTGCAATTGTTCTTAGAACAAGAGCGATGTTCTAAGATTATGTCGTGGTAGACCTGTGTAAATGCCGGGACGGTCGGTTCCTGCTCAAAAGATACAGTCGACCCACATGATAAGGATGGGCAGCCTTCCAAAGGGCATCCTTGCATCCTACCCTCCTTGGTCCATCGTTGGCCATTTTCGTTGGTCGCGCTCCGCTCGAACAGCTGCGAGATGGCTTCCCAATGCCCTTACGTCCCCCATCGTGCGTCCTGATGCTACGAGCTGACTGTGCCGATGCAGTCAAGACGCTGAAACTGGGACCACCTCTGGGCTCAGGAGTGGCTCTGGTTTTCGGGCCAGAGCCTGTTCGTGGCTGAGGCTCGCCGTGACCTGGGAAGTCCCCCTCGCTCTTTCTGTCGCGTTCCCCATGGTAATACGATGGCTGCACCGATACAGTGGATGCCCATGCCAGAACACCCTGCTTGCCTCCATGGTGCCCTGGCTTTCTTCGCTTGCGATGGTGTTGCTATGGAAGGCGTGACGATCCCACACCAAAAATCAATGGACGTCCTGGGGTCTCAGGGTTGGGCCTCCTGTGGTCTCAGGGTTCTTGTGGAAGGTTTCTTGTGGTCGAGCCTTCACTGTACGATGGCTGCACCGATACCGCAACCATCGTTGCCACCCGGAGTCGCCTTGAGATCCTGCTCGCACAACGCCCCAGGAGAGGTCCGGGGAGCAGTGGTGTCCGGACCTTTTCGTTCCCCCAGGTTACGGGCAAGGGAGGGCGATAGCTGAGAAATGGAGGATGTGGGGGGGAGGGGATGGGGGAGGGAGGGCGAGAGAGAGGGGGGGAAGGAGGGGGGGAGGGAGGGAGGGAGGGAGGGAGAAGAGGAAGAGGAAGGCAGGGGGAAGAGGAGGGGAGGGGTGAAAAGGCGGAGTGACAGGAGGGGAGGGCAGGGGCGGAAGACCTGGGGCAGGAGGAGCAGGGGGCGTGTATGAGACCGAGGAAGCTTGTCTGGAGCGAGAGCAGCAGCAGGGAAGCATGATAATGGGTGCGCTCCCCCTCCGCCTCATCTGCGCTCTCCTCGCAGGGGCGCAGGGGAGAAAGGTGTGTGTGTGTGTGTGTGTTCTCGGCCCCAGGAGGCCGGCGAGATCAACTTCTCGCTGTATGCCACCGAGCCTGGGCAGCCGCTGCCCCCCCTCGCCCGGGGCATGAGCCTGCGACCAGGCGCCGCGGGAAACGCCGGTGGAACGACGCCAGGGGGAACGAGCAATGACATATATATATATATATATATATATATAGGGGAGGGGCCACATGCGAACCCTAGCCCTACCCCCCACGATTCCTGAGGGGGAGGGTGGGGTTCATTTCGCTCAGAAGCTCCCGAACGGAGTGAACCCCACCCTCCCCCTCAGAAATCGTGGGGGGTAGAGGTAGGGTTCGCATGTGGCCCCCTAATAAACATAACCACTCAGAGATCTGCGCGGATTTCTCGGATCGGCGCTTGACCCCCCTGGCGGCCCCCGGCGCGCTCCGCGCGCCAGGGAAGGGAGTCCAGCGCCGACCGGAGAAGTCCTCGCGGACCTCCGAGTTTTTATGTTTATGTGGTTGTTTGTTTCGCTAGACGCGGCTCAAGAGCAACCCTAGCTTTGGAGGGTTGCCCGCGTGTTCTTTCTGCTTATACCCTCGGCGCCAGAAGGTTGCTCGTCTTGGGAACCTCCATAGGAGCTCATGCTCTTGACCCGCGTTCCCATGTCCGTGTTTCAACTGCGTCGAGGATCGCGGCCTGCGGTCACAGGACGTTCTGGAGCCTTTCTGGGTCCTTGGGGGGTCCCCGGATGCCGCTTGCGACGACGACGGCGATCGAGGATTCGAGGATTCGAGGATCGAGGCTCGAGGACCCAGACATCTGGCGACTCGACAGATCGAGTCGCCTGGCGTCCCGCCATGTTCTGTCCATTGTCCATGGAGGCCTTGGGCCCTCTGGCCGCCTGGGATCAACGACCGGCCCAGGGAGAGCATCGAGCCGAAGGGTGGAAGTGAAACGGCGGCGGCTCCGCCGGCGGAAGGTCGGCGGAATACAAGGGAGGCAAAAGTGAGACGTCGACACGTTTGCGTTCAAGATTCTCCCTGGCATCGCTCGGACGTGTGCATTTTTTCTCGGCGAGGGCCATCGAGGAGCATCCTTGTTCACTTGGCGAAAGAACCACGCACGACACCGAAAAAGGCACAGGGAATGGACGTCCGAGCGATGGCGAGTCTCAGAATTTGCCACCGGGAACGGAGGGGGAAGGGGGCAGAGCGGTGGGCAGGGGCAGTCCACCAGGGGCGGTGTCCGTCGGGCGCCAGCGGAATCTCTGGCTCCTGTCCGTCACTTCCGAGGCCCGCTTATCATCCGCTTCTTATTGTCTGCGCATGAAGCCGGCCTGCTGGCTGTGTGTGTTTCGTCCCCTCGTGCTTGTTTCTTTCTCTCTCTTTCTCTCTCTCTCTATTTCTCGCCCGCGTCTTTTCCATGTTCGCCTTCACCGCAGGGCTGATAGAAACAGGGCCGCACTTCTCATCATTATACACGCCCCTGTTCGCTGCGGCGTGTCTTTTTTTGTTTGCTCCTTTTTTTCCTCTGTCTCTCTCTCTCTCTCTCTCTCTTCCTGTCTCTTCCCCTCTGGGCTGCCGCTGTGCGCTCGCTCCTTCTACGAGTGGCCGCTTGGGGCCGCAGGGGATCTCCGCACCGCGCCCTCGCCCCTCCTTTATACAGTTACACAGTATGAATACTACCTTGGCATCGCTCGGACGTGTGCATTTTTTCTCGGCGAGGGCGATCGAGGAGCATCCTCGACCATTTGGCGAAAAAACCACGTACGAAACCAAAAAAACACAGGAAATGGACGTCCGAGCGATGGCCAGCTACTCTCCTCTCTCCCCTGATGACGTCCGGAAGATATGCGGCCCCCCTCCGCATACTGTTCTCGGGTAAAGCCAGGATCCAGGCAAGGGGACCCCATTAGTATTAGGGCCCCGGAGCCCCTAAATGGGCCAGAGTCACTAAACAAGGGCTGCCGTAGCAGGTGTTTTTCGGGTGACGGCAGTTCCGGTTAGTAGACCGGGGCGGGGGGGGGGGCGTCCCCCAGTACACATCGCTGAACCAGGTCCCACTAAACCCAGTTCTGCCAACGCCCGGAAGATATCCGACCCCCTTCCGCATATTGTTTTTGTTACTTAGGATTCCCGGGAAATGGGTTTTCGCTGGGGTTGTGTTTTCGAAACGCTGCTCCCGCTGAAGCGCTGGCCCCATTTCTGCGCCTCTGGTTGTGCCAAGTCATGCTCCCGCTGCGGCGCGGCCGTTTCCGGCCCTTCCGAACAGGCCCCAAATATAAAGAATGGCCCCCCCGGAAAAACCATCGGAAGTAATTACACATTCCGTGCCGATTCGTTGATTTTTTGGGCCGCATGCGGGAGCTCCTCCGTTTTCAGCTGTGAGAAGACGACGTCAAAAGCTGAGCCAGCGGTTGCTCTCCATCAGCCCCGCCTTGTGTGGAACTTTTCGGGGAGCCCAAGGAGCTAGATATGGAGCCACGACCCTAGACGGGCCCAGACCTGTCGAAGACGATCCACTTACCCTCCAAGAAACCCGGCGCCATGCCATGACATGTTGTGCGGTGTTGTGTTCTGCGCCGTTGTGCGATGTCATGCGTTGCGTTGCAATGGTTTGTGATACAATGCTTCACTGAGCAATGCCACACCATGCTATGGCATGCTACGCTCTGCCATTCTCTTCTACGCCATGCCATGCCATGCTC